TAAGAAATCTCAGCCCTGTAAATGCATATGGGCAGAGGAAGTAGGGAAGAAGGGGTGTGTATCTCTCCATCAAAGGGCCGAGACAAAAAGGAGTATGTGCAGAGACTGGAGCCTGGTGAGATTTTCCAGACAACATCCCCCGCCCCCCCATTTGGACTTGTTTCAGTACCCCGAGGCCGGAGCTGCTTTATAGCCCCCAGAGTGCAGTTCTGGTGTCGGTGTCAGTAAGGACAGACACAGGTTTATTCCCAATCTGGGTAGTAGTTTCTGCAAGCTCATTAGAGGGAGGATTGGGAAGAGCCCCTGTAGTTCCTGGTGGCCCCGTTGTGGACAGCAAGATGGAGTCACTCATGTCAAGCAATGATGCGAGCAGTTAAGGGCAGTGCAGCGACCAGACAGCACCGAGACCAGCACCAGCTGACAACACCCCAGAACCGATACCAAGCAGAAGCAGAGGAGGTCTGCAGGGGCCCAGGACTGGTGATTAAATCCCTTTAGCAAGAGAGGCCTTTGCAGGAACATCAGACTCCTGAGAATGACCCCTCTGTGTCTGAGCACTCGGAAAAGGCAGCCGCCGCCAAGGGCTGTGCCCCATATGTCCCCCAACAGAACTGAGACCCTCCACCGGACCCACCGACGCCCCAGCTCAGGGGTGCGCCCACGGCCCGACTTCGTGTTTGGCCCAGGAACGTCCTGCCCCCCGCCCCTCCTCTGGTTCACTGTGTGGCTCGTCTTCTGTCCTGCTCTGCGCGCCATGTAAGAAGCCGAGCTAGCCACGTGGTGGGGTGTCCTGGAGTGTGGACTCCTCACCCGCTTCACAATCACGTTGCCCTTGCTTGGTGACCGACACCGTGGAGAGAGAGACACAGCCCGCAGGTGCGCCCCGGAGCGTGCTCAGGACCGCCGGCCTGGCCCGCAGGATTCTGTGTCCTCGACTCCTCGGGTGTTAGAAAATTCAGAAGAGTCAGAAAAGCCCCCCCGGAGTCCTGCTTGAATTGAGCATAACAGCACTAAAAGGAATAAATCAGAGAGTGAACGTATGTGACCGTAGACTTTGCAGACGTCTCACGCAGGGTGAGGTCCTAAGTGGTGAGATCCTAAGGGCTGGGCACACATAGGTGAGGCCAAGCCCAGCGCCCTGCAGGAAGCAGTCAGCAGCGGAAAGCGGTCCGGGGCTCACCCCTTTGCACCCCCAGGCACGAGGTGGAACTAGCCAGAGCCGAGACCAAGGGAGAATGCCTCAGAAAGGTGCTTGGGGGGCGGAGAAGAATTAAACCATTCCGGGGATCTTGCAAAGATACATGCCACTACTGGCCCCAGTAATCTCTAACTTGGCAGAGACATGTGAAGGAAAAGCAGCTCAGTACCAGGACCCTGGGAGACGTAAGCATGGATCTGAAGGACCCTAAAAATGTAAAGCCATTAGGGTCCTGGGTGCCCACCATGGAGGTTCCCATCTTAGTGATGAAAACCATCTCACAGTTAGACCAGGACAGGCAAAGAGCTAGCTAATAGAGTAGTACGGAAGGACAAATCAATGAATAATTTAAAGGATGAAGTACCCTTGGGGACCTCAAGGTGCCCAACTTGAGGACCCAGGAGATTTTGATAACCCCTAGAGTGTGATTATCAAAGCAGACCTTCAATGCTTCTGCCTGTAATGGGTTCTGGGGTGTCACCTGATGCTGGTCTTGGCGATACCTTATGGCTGTAGTATGCTTAGTGCTTGTGTCATTGCTTGACACAGGCTCCTGCTGGACATGAGTGACTCCATCTTGCTCTGTACACTCATCATTGGGAATTAGGATGTTGGGAAGGTTGGCGAGAGGGCTGAAGGTGCCTGAACCACTTACATTTATTTGCAACAAAATCTTTTCCCAGTGTCCTGGTTCCTTGAAATCATAGCAGAAACTACTCTTCCAGTTTGGGTTGGGGGCCTTCATTTACTGGAGCCGAATATCGAAAATTTCACTGCTCTTTCCTCTGGGTAACTCATCTAGGGTGTGAGCAAGGTGGTTTGCCAGGTTAGTCAAATCTGAAATGGACCCAGTTTCTCATTCCATCCTGGTCCTTTTAACTAAAAGGGAAAGATCCTGGAGCAGTCATTAATAACATAGAATTAAATGTTAACCCCGATGGCTTCAGCATCTAAAGGAAGACCAGAATTTTCATTAAAGACAGTTTGGAGTCGATTATACTAATCACAAACAGATCCATCAAATTTTGTGTGTAAGCCTCAATTTTGTTCCAGTCAACAGGCTTAGGAAAAGCCATTATAATTTTTCAGTGGAGATCTCCAGCCAGCTTAATAGCATCTTGCCAAAGGATAGGGGTCAGTTTGTCTAAAATCCTGCTCAGGATCTCCCCCTGGGCTAGTTCCATCCACTGTCTGGCCCGGCCCTCACCAGCAAGCACGTGCACCAACTGATACAAACCTGAGAAACCAGGGTGGTAAGTTCCAATCATGATTTAAATTCTTCAGCAAACCTGTGGGGGTCCCTCAGTCATTTTAGGAAACCCTATAGCTATGGCTGGAAGTTCAGCAGTAGGCCAGGGAACATAAGAAACTTGGGTCTGTTTAGGTCCTTAGGAGACTTTACATTAAAGGGGCAAGTTTTTTTTTTCTTTTTTTTTTTTTCTTTCCAAGGGGCAAGTTTTAATTGCTTCAGGAGAGGAGTGAGCAGAGGGAGACTGTGATGAAAGGAAAGTTCGGCCAAAGGATTAGCAGGTGAGAGCAGAGGAGATGAGAGGTGCAGAGAGAAGATGATGCCCCAGGGGCGGGGGCCTGAGCACAGGATGGCTGCCTTGGGTCTGGGGGGCAGGGTGAAGAGGCCCCAGAAGCCCCCCCCCCCTTTTTTTTAATTGTTTGCCTCATTTAGTTTATAAAGCATATGTTGGAGAGAGGCAATTTTATATTCCTGAGAGTGTTTGGAAGCTTCAAAATACCAATTAAAATAAAAATCCCATTCCGTTTTAGAATCATGTTGGTTGTCCAATTCAACTTTGAGAAAATTAAGTTTGGAGAGATCGAAAGTTCCCCATAATGTCCATTGAAGTTCTAAATTGCTTCTGGTTAAGCCAGTCCATTTCTTTATAAGTGTGCATGTGGTGGGACCACAGGTTTTAAACATAAAGCTGGCTTGGAGCCCCAGTTGGAGGGGCTGGCATGCCCTCAGAGCGTTTTGATGATTGGGATCCCGTTTCATAGACGTGTTTCACGAACAGCCTGATTCCACAAGGAATCCGATGAAATACTGGTACAACCAAGGACCTAAATAGATCCCAAGTAAAGCCTGGAGAGCTCAGACACAAGGCACGAAGCTCAAAATCCAGGAGAAAACGTACCCTTAAAACCCCAGGGTCGTTGACAAAGCAGTGCGGCCTAACAGCTCGGAGGGTGCTGCACCTGTTTGCTCCCCAGCCATCGGGGGTCCTCTCTGCATCTCAGCCTCTGATCACCGAGGAATCCTAACCTTAAACACAGACACTGCCAGTCACTCTACCGGCAAGGATGGGTTTCTTCGGGAATGAAAGAGAATTAGAAACAAACGAGGAAGGTGTGGCAAGACTGTATGGCAAGCGCGGAAGACAGAGGAGAAGTAGGCTTTTGAGGGAGGCCAGGGGGAAGTTGGGAAGGCTGTTAGGAACTAGAAGGTTTTCTTAAGTATGGTGTGTTAAGAGAAAACCTAAATGATCTCAACATTATGATGTAATTCCTTCCCGTGTGTTTTTACATGAATACACTCTTGTGTATTTAATGGGCATCGTTTGTGACTGTTGGGAATGAAAAATTTTTTTGCTTCAATTTTGAGGTGTAATTGACAACATTGTGTGAGTCCAAATGAAATCTTTTCAGCTTATATATTTTAGGGTTGGTGTATGAGAATATTACTGTTTACGGTAAAATGCCGACCTCTTTTCCTGGGTTTAATCTATGTCTGTGTATTTTCTTTTCTTTTTTTTTTTTTTTTTTTTTTTTTTTTGGATGTAGACAGCCATGGTCCAAGATTTATGATACAGAAACTAAAGCTATGGAGAAGTTAGGTTAGTTTTAAAGAGGATACAGTGACAATAAATGACCTGGCATCCCTTCTTTGAAGTAGCAAATTCTTGATCGCCATATGGTGTTCTTTTTTTCAGTCTGGTTTTCGTTGAATTTGTGATGGCACGAGCTTCCAGCTGTAGTACATCAGGTCTTTAGGAGCTGGCCTGGGCTCTCAGGGCTGTGCAGGGGAGGCTCTGGCTCCCTTCTCAGCCTCCCCTTACACTCCCTCCCAGACCAGCCTGTGGCCACAGTGGACTTCTTGCAGTCCCTGGATGTAACATCTCGGCCTCTGTGATGGTCGCACATGTTGCTTTTTTCTGGAACACTGGTCTCTCCTCTCTATCCTCTCTGCCGGCCACACCTTAAAAGTAGATTCCTCCAAGGGGCTTCTGGTTACCAGTCTCCTTAAACTGGATGCCCTTCATGCTATCCTCGGTACCTTTTATTTTGCACAGTTGTCTCTATTTGAATTGTATAAAAAGTGATGTTAACGTGTATATATTTGTTTGCTTTGATATTTGTTCTCTCTACCCGGTGTCAAGCACATTGTCTTGCAACAGTGTACGGAAGTAGTCAACATTGGGCGAATAAAATGGAATGCATATCTTCCGTTCTGAGAATGTAATTTTCTTGTTATTAATAATCAAACAATTTAAAGTATTAAATGACATGTTGATTTTATTAATGCATCTCTTCCCTTCTCTTTTCCTGTTATAAAATCTCCATCTTGGGAACCCTGGGTGGCGCAGCGGTTTGGCGCCTGCCTTTGGCCCAGGGCCCGATCCTGGAGACCCGGGATCGAATCCCACGTCGGGCTCCCGGTGCATGGAGCCTGCTTCTCCCTCTGCCTATGTCTCTGCCTCTCTCTCTCTCTCCCTGTGTGACTATCATAAATAAAAATTTTAAAAATTTTTTTAAAAAAATAAATAAAATAAAATCTCCATCTTTGTTTTAGAGCCGAGCTCCGATTTCTGCGAAACTTGTGGCCAATATGCTCTCGGTCGCTGGGGCTGATCACATCATCACCATGGACCTGCATGCTTCTCAGATCCAGGTTCCAGCATTTTCTTTCCTTGCCTTTGGTGGTGATCGGGGGCTTAATGCAACTGGTTGAATCCTAACTCTATTAAGTTAAATTGTTTTCGAAGGGGGTGACGTGAGTCGTGTTTAAGTTTGTATGCGGTGGCTCTCTTAGATTTTCATCTTTACTGGACTTGGAAACATGGTTGAAGGTTGTTACCGCTGTCTGCCACCAACTTGCAAACGACTTCAGAGGAGTGGGAATGGCTTCTTGGTAGTCAGCCTTACAATTCCATCTCCACTCCTCGAAAATAATTACAGTGGCAGAGTTGTGATGTATGTTTTTTCACCCTCCTCATAGCTTAGTTCTTCATCTAAAACAGGCCACTTTATACTGTGCCTCCTCTGTGATACCATGAATATGAAGAAGCGTTTGGCTTATAATAAGGTGCTTAATTAAGACAACAAACCTCACTGCCCTGCAAGACTGTTCTCCTATTCCTTAGGATATAGGCAACCCTAAGATAATAGGTTTCCAAAGATAATGGGTTGGACTTACATAGGCTCCCGGAACGTATCTGTCTTTCAATGTAATTCTGTTAAAATCAAGAAAAGGGAGTCTGTTGAAAAGCCTTCTTTTGAATAAAAAATTCAAATTTGACTTCATGCAAGAGGTTCTCTTTAAAACAAAACTGCGGTGTGCCGCGCACTTCTCCTCTTAGGGCTTCTTTGACATCCCGGTGGATAACCTGTACGCGGAGCCCGCCGTCCTGCAGTGGATCCGAGAGAACATTGCTGAGTGGAGGAACTGTATCATTGTCTCGCCCGACGCCGGGGGAGCCAAGAGGTAGGCAGACGCCACGGTTTTGCTTTGTTTTATTATTTTTTTAATATGTTAGATAAGGAAGCACGTTCTGAATTACTTAATGCTCTGTTTTGTAAATGAACAAGTAAGGGGACTGCAGTCCTCACCTGCAGGGCAGGGAGCGGTCCTCTTTGTTAACGTTCCATCGTTCATGCAAGAAGTACAGGCACGTCTTTGTTTTCAGCAAATATGTTTCAGTCGGTGGTTTTAAGAGTCTATTTGTTTGAGAGAGAGAGAACAAGCACGAGCCAGGGGAGCAGCAGAGGCAGAGGGAGAAGCAGGCTCCCCGCTGAGCAGGGAGCCCGATGGGGGGCTTGATCCCAGGACCCCGGGGTCACGACCCGAGCCGAAGGCAGATGCTTCACCGATGGAGCCCTCAGGTGTCCCAGTGCTGGTTTTTTTTTTTTAAAACTTTTTTTTAAAATTTTTATTTATTTATGATAGTCACAGAAAGAGAGAGAGAGAGAGAGAGAGAGAGAGAGAGAGAGAGGCAGAGACACAGGCAGAGGGAGAAGCAGGCTCCATGCACCGGGAGCCCGACGTGGGACTCGATCCCGGATCTCCAGGATCACACCCTGGGCCAAAGACAGGCGCCAAACCGCTGCGCCACCCAGGGATCCCCAGTGCTGGTTTTTAAGTTACTTTTTTCTGATTATGAAAGCGACGAGCCCAATTGGAAAATAAGACTTTTAATTAACAACACGATTGACTAAGCTAGTCCCTCCTCCTATAAACACCTGACAGTGGAGGCCAAAATAGAGTTCTAAAAAAGAAATCTGTGTCCATAGAGCACCAGGAAAAAGGGAAATGTCCAGGGCCGGGAAATAAAGAAGGGCTGAAGACCCTGCTTACGTGGCCTGGCGGGGGGTTATCAGATCCAAGAAGAGGCTGCTGGCTTGGGTGTTAACTGCCCACGTAGAGGTCTCCAGAGAGAAGGGAGATGAAAGTTCGACCTCTCCCCAGTGGCACGGGGGACAGCCAGCTTTACTCAGTCCTTTGGTGGGGGGGTGGGGAGGACAAAATAGCCACTCTTGAGAAATCGGACTGAGAGCCTGTGCCCTGTGCAGGTGTGCGGTGAGTTCTGCGTGCCCCTTGGTGCGGGGATCCCTAAGCTAAGAACACTTGGTCCCGGGCCACCGGGAATCTCACTGTCCCAGCTGAGCACTCCCCACGGGAGACCGCCTCATGCCTGATGATCCTCGGGAGGGCATAGCCCGGAGCCGGCGTGTGCAGAGGAGCCGGCGGCAGGCGGCCGGCCCCGTGGGGTGACACGACGCTTCCTGGACCGTAAAATGACCAGCTTGGACAGAAAGGGACACGCTACCCAAAGCGTCCTAATGCTGGCACACTGACTAGCATGAGAAAGTGGCTCTGAGCCTCGGATCGGGAGAGCCTCGCAGGCGTCAGGAATGAAGGAGCAGTCAGTGCAGGGAGCTCAGAATGAAGGGCAACGACGACGCAACACGGATTGGAGACGCACCGCTCTTCCGCGGCCTGACGTGACCCTGTCACACAAGGCAGCGGCCTCCTGGAAAAGGAAGACAGGGTGCTTGGGGCTTCAGGGCCCAGGTGTAGGGGCCTCCATCAGGGAGGGAGAGGGACAGAAGACCTCTGTCAGTCCATTGCAAAAGCAAAGAAGCTGATAAACATACCAGGAGTGCCCTGCGGCCACCCAGCTTCAGGACATACGTCTATAACCTGCAGATGCGTCACCTGGCTCTCTTGTCCACCTGTAGCCTGGTTAAGGGACTTAGAATCAAACTAAAAAGCTCAGGAGTGGCCCAGAAAGCTGTCATGAACCCGAGCTGGGAAGCAGAGGTGCTAATTCTCTTAGAAGAGCCGCGATGAGCGCCAAGCTGCCGTCTCTGGTGCTTGGTCCCCCGCACAGGAGAGGGGGTGAACAGGTGGGGCTGGGCCTCTGACAGCAGCAGGAAGTGGCCGTTGACAGGAAGGAGACACAAATACATCAGAGTCGGAAGCAGAAAGTGAGCGGCAAAGCCCCCATGCAGGGACCTCTGGGTCAAAGCACGTGGAGTGTCTGCCCGCGTAAGATCTCGGGGCAGTGGGGGCGCCTGGGGGGCTCAGTCACTTAAGCATCTGCCTTGGCTCCGGTCATGATCTCAGGTCCTGGGATCAAGTCCCACGTTGGGCTCCCTGCTTAGCGAGGAGTCTACTTCTCCCTCTGCCCCTCCCCCTGCGCTCGCTCACACTCGCTTTCTCTTTCATTCACGCTCTTTCTCAAGTATTAAAAAAAAAAACACAGGGAATGTGAGTGGCATTTTGGAGTTATTTCTATAGCAAACGCTTGCTGTTCACTTGGAAACCTTAGTAAGTCACATAGTGGACTCCCTTCAAATATGGTGAATCCACTGGTGCGATGGAAGGTTCGAGGTGAAAAAGCAGGCCAGAGGTACGTGAGCATAAGATGTAACTTGTTTTTAGTAACAGTTTTATTAAGACAGAAGTCATCTACTTACCGTCCACCTACTTAAAGTGCACAGCTCAGTGCCTTTCACTGTGTTCGTACAGTTGTGCCTCCATCACCACTACCGAGTTCCGGACGTGTTCATCACCCCCAAAGAAGCCTGTTCCCAATAGCCAGGCGCTCTCCATTCCCTCTGCCCCCAGCCCCTGGTCACCACTAATCTCTTCTCTGTGTCTCTGGACATTTCATATGGATAGATGATGCAATACGTGGTCCTTGTGTCTGGTGTATTCTTTTTTTTTTTTTTTTTGAAGATTTTATTTACTTAAGAGAGACAGGAGCTGGAGAAGCAGCAGAGGGGAGAAGCAGGCTCCCTGCCGAGTGAGGACCCCAATGTGGGGCTCGATCCCAGGACCCCAGGATCATGACCTGAGCCTGAAGGCAGATGTCCAACCCACTGAGCCACCGAGGCACCCCCCCCCATTTCCTTCTTTAGAGGCCTCTGTTCTTCCCAGTGCGAGAATTCTGTTATTCAGACATGTCCCCCTTTTTATTTCATACAAATGGAAATATCTGCTTTTTAAAAAACATCCTCATCCCATCTTAGCAGCGATTCCACAGCTGTGCAGGAGATCTACTCTATTGCTCTTTCCAGCTGGGTGATAATTCGTCATAGGCATAGATCATCGTTCCTTTATCAGGTCGCCCCGTTCCTCACTTGGGGGTACCATTGTGTGTCCTCTTAAGCACCGTCCCGCCACACTGTACTTACTACATTTTGTGTACATTCAGGTCTCTTTCTAGAAGAGACCAGGTCCTGGGGCAAGAGCCGTTCAGGTTTTGATGGACAGTGACAAAATAATTGGGTCTTTCGGAAAAGGTAGACTGGTCAGCGCTCCGAGTGTGGACGCGGGTGACTCTCTCCGAGGCCTGCTGTGGAGCAGACATCGTCTGGTTTATAAACAGATGGTGATGATACGGGATCTTTTCCTGTTAATTCTGGTGGACAAGGTCAAGCGCCCTCTGCGGCCTGCTGCTTTTCCCCGAGGGCCTGGTCGTGCCTCTGCCTGTTGTCACGTTGGCCGGAAGCCTTTTCCTCCGGATCGTTAGGAGTTCTGTGCAGACAGGAGGTCACATCTTTGTTTCCTGTGGGGGTGGGGGCGGTGCAGATACTTCCCCGAGTTTTTCATGCCTTCCCTTGGTGTATTTTTCATCTCTGCAAGACTTTTAGAACGTTGCTTCTGTCGTCATTTATCTCTTCATGTTCTGACTTCTGGGTGTAGGAAGTTTTCACCCTCCTCAATTCTTCTTCTCCCATGATTTCATATATTTTAAGACAAATTGCCTTCTTCCCTTTTTAATGTTCCAATTTTTCTTCCATCTGATATTTGTTTTGGAACAAAGAGTGAAGAAGAATCCAGCTTTTTCTCCCCCCAGCTATCTAGTTGTTCCAAAACTATTTATTAAATAATCCGTCTTTCCCCTGCTGATTTGAAACACCATTTTATGCACCAAATTCCCCTATCTACTTGCCAACTCTTGCCTCTTTTTTTTGGATTTATTTATTTCAGAGAGGGGGAGGGGCAGAGGGAGAACGAGAATCTCAAGCTAACTCCATGCTGAGTGCAGAGCCCGACTCGGGGCTCGATCCCAAGACCCTGAGATCACGACCTGAGCTAAACCCTAGAGTCAGATGCTTAACCCACTGAGGACACGCAGGTGTCCCAACTGTTGCTTTCAAAAATGCAGAACCAACGAAGCAGAGTTAATGGCCAGCACTGAGATGCTGTCCTTTTCCAGGTCACCTTTAAAGCTGTCCCACTCGAGCAGCCCTGCTCCCTCTGCCAGGGACCATCAAGCTTTTTAAGAGCATATATTTTGGAATTTTTTTTTTTTTTTTGCCACTTCCTTCCTTTTCCCCCCAAGTTTCGTTACCTCCTTCCTACAGTGGAGTAAGCTGCTCCCCAGCGGACAGAACAGTCACAGCGGTAACACGTGATACACGCAGTAGATACTACCACTGGCATCTTTGCTTGATGCAAAATCGTCATTTCATCAAAGGAAACAGGTCTCTGACCAACTAGAACTTTCTGCCTTGGCGAAAAGCCTCAAAGCTTGACATACTGCAGGTAAAACTTAACATTGCCACAAGAGGTCACTGTCTGGTAGGCTTTGCGGCTCGCTTGGCTTGGGCTAAGGAAGAGTGAACCTTAGGAGGGAGCGCACCTACTGCCCATCAGTAGTAACCTGAAACTGGTGTGGGAAGTTGGTGAAATGAAATAATTCAGGTTTAACTTTTACTGTTTTTCTTCCGGAAAGCACGTAAACACGTGTGTCGAAGAAACAGAAATGAAACCGCATGTGATTTGGGTTCCAGCTTGCCCTGCCTGAGGTTTCCGTGTGATACGTTGTCTCAACAGGAGTTGTTAGGAACACACCTTAAGTGTCCTGTACGTGGAAAAGGAGGATTGTAGCCCCGTGCCCAGGGCTCACTGATCAGCCTGGCCTGCCACCTTCTCTTTCTGGTGCCAGCCCAGCCCTTTCTGAGTGAGTGACTTTGGAGCATTTGCCAGGGATGAGGAGAGAAACTCAAGGTTTACAAGCCCCAAGGCCTGCAGGGCAGTGAAGTCCACTTTCATAAGCCCCAGTGTGATATGTGCCTTTGTGAGCTAGGACTTCTGTCCCCACTGGCTGCACCACAGACTGAGCGAGTGGCGGTTTCTAAATCACTTGATTTGAGTTGTGTCTATGACTTGTATTTTTTTCTAAGTATTTTATTGAGTTTCATATATGCTGTATTTTCTTGCTGCTAATGGCTATTTCCTTTTGCTTTTTTTTTTGAAAGTTTTTTTTTAAGACTATTTATTTATTCATGAGAGACAAAGAGAGGCAGAGACACAGGCAGAGGGAGAAGCAGGCTCCATGCCGGGAGCCCGACGCGGGACTCGATCCCTGGTCCCCAGGATCACGCCCTGGGCTGAAGGCGGTGCTAAACCGCTGAGCCACCCGGGCTGCCCTTTTTGAAAGTTTGTATTTGAATTCCAGTTCACACACAGTGTAATATCAGTTTCAGGTGTACAATACACCTGATTGTACACGTGCCCGTGATTTTTTTTAAAGTATGCACAGACACTAACGGATTCCCATATTGATTTCCCATCCAGTACTTCCATCCAGTGGTCCAGGCACCCGGCGTTTGTTGCCAGGTGCCACGAACACAAGGCCACCTCTGCACATGTCTCCCCGCGGCTTGTCTACTGTGCACCCCAGGCCAGGCCTGGCTTTCCAAGTGAGCCCCGATTACCTCGTTATCTCAAACGTGGCTGGTTAACCGCATTCCTAAAATACGACCATAGACGTCAAGGGCTTTTCTTCTGTTGACAGTATTTTGCATTCTGGCTGTGTGTTCGAGCAGGGTCACGTCGATTGCAGACCGGTTGAATGTGGAATTCGCCTTGATTCACAAAGAGAGGAAGAAAGCAAATGAAGTGGACCGGATGGTTCTGGTGGGCGACGTGAAGGACCGCGTGGCTATCCTCGTGGACGACATGGCTGACACCTGTGGCACCATCTGCCACGCCGCGGACAAGTACGAGGGGCGGTGCGGGCAAGCGTTAGAGCATCGCATTAGGAAAGGAAAAATGTCAGCTCTTAAAAACTGGGCCTGTTCTTCCTAATGATTGCTGATTGCTGGGGGGTGGCCTTTCAGGCCCATTTATTTTTTTCTTGGTGGAAGACAATCCCCTGGGCCTTTAGGGCCTGGTTTTCATTTTCCAGGATGAGCTTTCAGTGTCTGGAAAAGGATCCAAGAAGGTGCTCCCCCCGCACCTGAGCACAGAGGGAAGAGACCGTCTCGTGGGCTCCTTTGGGCCTGGTCTTCCTTTGGCCTTCGCTTGAGCCTCCCCGGCCGTGGCTCCCGAAGGTTCGAGAGCTGGGCCGTGGCTAGTGGGAGCCGCGGTGCGGAGCACTGGTTGCGGGGCCGCTCTGACTTGAGCTGGGCTGCAAGCACGCAGCACCCGCTGGGCCAAAGGCAGTGTGAAACCAAGAATGCAAAATCTGTCAGTAGTTTAGATTGAATGTGACTCAAAATGATGGTAGTTTGGCTTTATTTATTTTTTCTTTTTAATATTTTATTTATTTATTCATGAGAGACACGGGGGGGCGGGGGTGGGAGCAGAGACACAGGCAGAGGGAGAAGCAGGCTCCATGCAGGGAGCCCGACGTGGGACTCCATCCCGGGTCCCCAGGATCACACCCTGGGCTGAAGGTGGCGCTAAACTGCTGAGCCACCCAGGGCTGCTCGGTAGTTTGGCTTTATCAGTTGAAACCAGCGGTTCTCAACCAAGGACAGTTTTTGCTCCCCAGGAGACATTTGGCAGTGTCTGGAGATGATTTTGGTTGTCACAGCCGAGGGGTAGGGGGATGCTGCTCAGCAAAGCATTATGTGGGCCCAAGGCTGATAATCCCTGATTTAACAGAATACAAAAGGTTTTGCCAGTACGTACCTTCAGAGATCGTTTTCGAGGCTAATAAATGTGAGTCAGATTGGTTTTCTGTTTTTCTTTATGGAACACGCTTTTTGCCTTTTAATTCACACTGAGGGGAGAATGTTTCAGGAATATTTGTGTACACTTAATTGTTTTGCTCTCTGCTTTACAGGCTGCTCTCCGCCGGAGCCACCAAGGTTTATGCTATCCTTACACACGGGATCTTCTCTGGGCCAGCTATTTCCAGAATAAACAACGCCGCCTTTGAGGCTGTTGTCGTCACAAACACCATTCCGCAAGAGGACAAAATGAAACACTGTCCCAAGATTCAGGTACTGCTACACAGCAGAGGCGCGCAGCGAGGAATCTACCTTGAGCCCCAAAAGATAGCGCTGAGTCTTGTGTGTGTGACTGCGTGTGTGACATGCTTGCCCAGGGATAGCTGCCAGATGCTGTGGCTTCCCGTAACGGCGGGTGGGATTCACGTTAGGTCTGAGAAAGGCTGGGGCCGGTGCAGGTCAGAGTTGGAAATAGTCAAAACCACACTAGAAAAGCAGTTAAAAACAGGCTGTTGTTGCAAAAAAGTTTTGGCGGAACGCAGCCACACATATTCATTGACGTATCGTCTGTAGCTGTCGTCACGCTACGTTGACTTGAGTCGAGTCTGGCCCCGCAGAGCTGAAAATATTTACCGTTGGGCCTTTTACCCAAAAGCTACTCACTGAACCCTGAGTGAGGTGATCACAGCTGTGCTCTTTTTTTTTTTTTTTGAGATTTTATTTATTTATTCATGAGAGACACACAGAGAGGGGCAGAGACACAGGCAGAGGGAGAAGCGGGCTGCCTGCGGGGAGCCCGATGCGGGACTCGATCCCAGGACCCCAGGGTCACGCCCTGGGCTGAAAACAGGCAGACAGTCACCCAGGTGTCCCCAGCTGTGCTCTTAAGTGACGCAGTCACTGCATTTTTGGAAACTAAGAAGAAAACCTTCCATGTGATGATTGAGTAAAATTAACAGACATCCCAAGGAAAGGCTATCTCTGGGTACCAGTGACCCCGAAAAGCCTTTGATTGAAGGTCTCGCCTCCAGGGTCCCACGTGTGATTGTAATTGGAAGGTAGAAACGGGCGCAGGTTGGGGGCGGGGGGGTGATCGCGCGTCTTTGTGCTGGAGAAGTCGTTCCTGGGCTCTCTGGCTCTAAGTTTTTCGTGGACTCTGACTGAGGTGTCCCACTGTCCTCTCCCCTTTTCTGTTGGCCTTTAGGTCATTGATATCTCGATGATCTTGGCAGAGGCGATCCGAAGAACGCACAACGGTGAATCCGTGTCCTACCTGTTCAGCCACGTCCCGCTATAGGCCCGGACGTGAGGTGTGGAGCAGGCCTGCTCGGGCCGCTGCCTTGTGTGCGTTTGCCTGACTTTAGTTTTAGGACTCAGCAATCCTAGGATAATGCAAAAGCGTCCGATCTTTGTACCCTGCAAGATCCATTGTTTCCCCCCTCTCAAGCTCAAGACCATTTACTTCTGGTTTGGGAGGGGGAAGGGGAGGGTGGTGGTTATCTGATCTTTTTACGTGAACTGTCCTTAAGGTCATCCTGGCTCATTCTGACAGGTGACCTTTCTTTTGTTTTACCAGTACTCCGAGGCCACAACTTTCAAGTATGTAATTCCACTGCGGAAGGTCATAGTCTGTCTGTTTCGAGGTCGCCAAAGGTGACTTCAGATTAAAGCCTTCTGTGTAAATACTGATAATGCCTATGGACATTTGGGTCAAACCCTGTATACAGAATTAGCCTTTTCCTTCCGAGTGCACCTTAGAAAATTTATAATACCCTGAATTCGGTTGGGTTTTTTTTCTTTTCTTTTTAGTAGCCAGGTTTCATATAAACCTTTGTTATCGTGCTCAATTTGACCAAATTTTAGGTAGCTTCAGAGGGCTGCTGACACATTTACTTTCTGATAAACATTAGACATTATCACAAGCAATTCAGCATTTCTTTGGTTGTTGTTGCCACTGCCGAGAAACGCATTATAACTGCCACTTACCTGAAATGTCGCGTTCTGAAATTCCAAAATTAATGTTCAGCAATGGATCTGACTGAGAAAGTGTCAAGATAGACCCTACAGGCTCGCTGGTGCCACTCATGCTGCGCTCTGGCCATCTGAGGCGGACAGCTCTGCAAGCGGCAACTCCGTCCTACCATCTTGTTTTATGGCCTCTTTTTAGCTCTAGCTTTTACTTCGCCTTCTTTCCAATAATCTCACGTTGTGTGTTTCCACCAAAACCAAGACTCCCCTAAGTTCCCTCAGGCTTACTAGTGTCTGTTCGTTATTTGTTCCTGACATCATAAAAAGGCGAATTTTTGTGAGTACCACCAAATGCTTATTTAAACATCACCTCCTTCGTTTTGATTTAGTAGTCTTTTGCCTTTTGTAATCAGAAGTAGCAGGTCTCCTAGACAACTGATTGTTTTAACTAAAACTGTTACATGAAAAATGTGGGTAAGAAAGGCCTACAAAGAAAGTACAAATAAGTAAGCATTAATTGCTTCATTGAGATAAGGTTCGAGTGGTGGCCCAAGAGTGATCATGGAGGCAAAGATTGCTTTATCCACAGATGGCGCTTGACAGCATCTTCCTCAGTGGGGTGCATCCCTAAGGCGAGCTTTGACTCCCCATGAGTCTTGGTAGATGCACACTGGTGCACAACCAACTAAATTCTTCAGCCCGGAAAGAAGAGAATTTGCCTGCGTAGACAAAGGCTGGGAATAATAACAATCCCTCCCTTCTGCTGAATCTTAAAACTTGAAGAGAGGAAATTGCCTGATCTAAGTTTTGCAGGTGGCAAAACCAAATCTTTAAGTCACTTGAGCAGCAATTTTTAAGATTTCAAACTTCAGTCCAGCGGAGGTTGAAGTTTAGCAAGCATCGTGTTGGTCATTGCAGAGACCGGCATTTTGCTGTACCTTAAAATGGTTTTTGAGAAAAACAATGGCATTCTAGCCTGGTAGAGTCAGCTATGCGATACCGATTGGCTCTACCTAGGAAGAGTTGACTTGATAATGTAAAGAGCCTCCTTAGATGTATGTAATTTTTAGTTTTGATAAATGAGTGATATCTATTTCTTGGAATTTCTATGCAAAGACAGATGAAAATGTAGTTACAGACACACGCAGGTAGACGGCCTTGGCATATAAGTGTAGACATGTTGACATGACTGACGAGAGGTGATTTAAACGTGATCATTTCGTCTTCAGATTGAGTCTAAGATACAGAGCTAGTTTTAAAATAATCCTCAGATAAAAATCTGCATTGTCATCGAATTAACTGACTTTTTCTCTCTTTTGGCCTCACTTTTTGTTTTCAAGTAGTTCTGCTATATTCACTAATTCGACTAGACTTGGCCATACACGGGGGCAATGTAGACCTCAACCATTTGATGGTTTCAGCTGCAGAAAGATGAGGGGGGTGGCCTCAGGAGCGGCCCAATCGCAGAACTTGTGTATCCCTTGCCCCTGGTGTGCAGGCATTCAGGGAAACCACCCAGTGTATCGGTTCTGTCCAACTCTGCCTAATGGGCCTGGACTCACGGATATCTAGCCGAAAAGGGGAGCCAGAGAAGTACACGCATACCAAAGCTGCTCGTCCTCCAACTTAAATGATATTAATCAACCTGCAGATAATTCATACTAGAACTTGCTTTGTTTAGATGTCCCTTAGATTCAGGAATGTATCATTTGCAGTGCTTGTATTGGTTTAGAACATACGATTTTAAGATCATCCACCACTGTACTAAAACATTTCAATAAAATCATGCTACTTCTTTCTATCATAGTTTGTGTCGTCATTACGGAGTGCTGTGTTTTGACGGGGGGACCCGAACGTGTTTGGTACTTGAGGATTATAGCCTGGCAGATACAATTACAGAAAAGCTGGAAGTTAATGGAAGTCAGCTCTTGTCTGTTTTGAAGATATTTCTTTGGGGACTGACCAGCAGTCACCTCGTCCCAAAGTGTAACAGCCGTGCCACATAAGATGACGCAAGTTGAACATTCTAGACGTTGCCTGTAACATTGGAGATCACACGGTATGCTTACACATTACAGTAGTAATGGTTGGTGTCCCCAGATTGGAGCAGACCAAACTTCAACGTAGGCCCCATCGAGTTTTTCCATCTGCTCTGATTTCAGAAGCACCAAGAGTTTCCTGCTCCCTTAAAGCAACTACCTATCCAGTGAAGCTTTAAATTACTCTTGGGGGACAAAGGAAATTTATAATTCTGTTCTCCCGCCAAAGCTCAGCTTTATAGTGTGGGTAGTGCTGAGAGTGGCAGCATTTTGCCTCAAAAGTTTCAGCAAAATATAAAGAACTAAAACAGTCTTCCAGAGAAGGTCACGGTTTAATACCCAACATGATGGAATGTACTAGAAGGAAGAAAAATGGGGACCTGGAATCCAAAAACTCTTAGACCTAAAAATGCTGTCACATGTCTTCCGGAAGGGTTTCCTTTCATACGGGCAGATCCTGCCAGCTGACAGGCCAAGTGTCAAAGGGAAAACAGGAATTCTCGGGGATTCAGGGGATCGATCAAGCTGGGGAGATCAGAAAGGGCTTTGTGAAGGGACTGCCATTATAGATGATCATTCCTGGAGGAATCTTCCAGAACCACGTGGCTCTATTCCACCAGGGACTGAAGCAGGACAGCATAGGGCATTTGGTACACGATATGTTTGAGTGAGGTTGGCCGAGGAGGCTGGAAGGTAAGGGCTGAAGCACGTCGCCAGAGCGTTGACCTCTATTGCATGGAGAAGTCTCCAGAATGCCTCCTTTTCGCTGCAGATCTTCACCTTACTGATTCATTTTCCTGCAGCCCAGGGTCCCGCCCCTCCACCTTCTCCCTGCCCTTGCTTTCCAGAGTTGCTTCACTGTGGTCTCAGCTCTGTCTTCTCCGACAGCGAAGCGCGTGATGCCCAGAGATTTCACCACTTAGTACAGTCAAGGCAACAGCCAAAGCTCTTTGGGAGTCTCGTGCCTCAGTTTCCATAGATGGGAAATGGCCTAACAGGGCTTGTACTGGGGGTGTGACGGGGACTGCACGAGATCCCTGGACGTTTTGCACAGTACTTTCCGCCTTCAGGGCAGGCGTCTTAAATCTTCCCTTTGAAAGAAGCTAAGTAGATGCGAAGCCACAGGATTTTCATGCATTTTGCAGATGTTAAGGCTCGTGCGTGTGTGGTCTCCTCACAAGCATGTCGTCCTGACAGGTGACTGTCAACGACGGCGTTCCGTGGTGTCAAGTGGCTGCATGTAGAGAATCCTTGCAGTGGCCGTAGCGCTGCCGGGGAAGAAGGGCACACGCGCCCCGGGGTCGATCGGGGCCGTTCCCAACGACCCGGTTCGATTCTCCTTCCCGCACAAAGACCAGCAAAGGCGGCGCCGGTGTAAACGGTAAGGGCGCTCCGCCCTGGGGGCTTCCCCAGCTGAGGACTTCTGGGCGTAAATGCACCCCGAATAAGACCATCCTGTGGTGGCAGGCCAGGCCCTCAGAGCCCTCCCGAGGGGGCCCCGGGGGGGGGGGAGCAGGGCTCTCCCTGGGGCTACAGGCCAGGTGGTGGCCGCACGGCCCATGCCCCCGCTGCACCTTGCCGTTGCCACCGTCCGCTGCCCCTCCGCCCCTCCGCGTAGGGCACTGTCCCCCCCCAGCGCTGTCCGGGGACCGCGAGCCGGTGGCCGGGCCGCGGAGTCCTGCCACTTGGCCTGCGGGCGCGACGGGACGGGCCGCTCGGGTCCCCACCTGTGCGGTGTCACTGTCCACCTCCTTTACGAGGCGGACGTCGGACGCCGGGGGCTCCCCGTCTTTGGCAGCCACTCTGCCACCAGCGGGCCTTGTCTTTGTCCCCGTCTTCGGTGGCTCGGCCCGGGGACAGGAGGCCACCGGGTGCCCGCCACCCGTCTGGGGCCCGGAGCTCGGTGCAGCGCTGAGCCCGAGGAGAGGCCGAAGCCCAGCTGCCCTGCCCCGCAACGCGGTCGGCCCGCGCTCTGACCTGTTGGCTCCCGCCGCCCACGCCACGCGATCGGGCCCCAGCCTCGGCAGCCCACACACAGGGTGCCGTCCCGAGCCCGCGGCCGGCCCACCCCGCCCCGAACACGTGCTGCTGGCCCACGTGCACTTTCCGGCTGTGGGTGTGCACCTCCCCGCGGGTGCCCGAGGGAGCGTGAATACGGTGGTCATCTGGGGACGTGGTGGCCTCGGCCTTGGGCTTCTCCCTGCCTGGCCTCGCAGCCACCATCCTCACCCCCCACCGGTTTACACTGTCCTAATGGCAGAGTTCCGTGGTCAAAAGGAAAACCAGCAGCAGTCATTTTACATTTTTTTAAATTTGCATTTCAAAAGAGCGATAAAAAGAGACTGGGAAAGCGACAGATGGCATGCAGTGGACAGTGTCCTAAATCGGGAGTGTGGCAATCTGGAGTTTGGTTCCGGATATACCCCTAGCAAGCTGTGTGACCTTGGGAAAGGGGCTACACCCCTGTGAGTCTTGAGTATCTCTGCAAAAATCAGAGGGTAGATGATTGCTGAAGTCCCAGCAGTTTTTTTTTTTTAAAAAGATTTTATTTATTCGAGAAACAGATAGAGAGGCAGAGACACAGGCAGAGGGAGAAGCAGGCTCCATGCAGGAAGCCCGATGCGGGACTCGATCCCAGGTCTCCAGGATCAGACCCTGGGCTGAAGGCGGCGCAAAACCGCTGAGCCACCCAGGGATCCCTCCCCAGCAGTTTTTAATTAGCCTCGGCTCTCTGTTCCAGACGTAGTTGGAACATCTAGTAACCAAAGGTGGCCCCAAAGACACAAGCTGGTTACTTGCCCCTCAGGTGCAGCTCTAGTTTTGCTGGCTGCACCGCTCGCCGTTTCTTTGCTGGAAGCCCTGATTCCCAGGAAGCCCCCCAGGCCTCAGCAAACCAGGATGCGTGGTCACCCTCGTTCTGTCCTCTACGGTAGCTGGTCCTGTATCCCCAGCGCCGGCCCTAAGGACTCCCATGAGCGTGGCTCTGATTTTGTGCCCGGCCATATGACAAGCCCAACTGGGTGCCAGTGACCTGTGACGTCACAGTTCTTACTGAATACGTTGTCAATTAACTGTAGAAGCTGAAGAGCCGTAGTCACAAATAAAGGAGGGAAAAGGGACACACTTCTAACATTTAATTAGAAAGATCATAAAGAAAATAAATATGTAATTTATTTATATTTATTTATTTATTTATTTATTTATTTATTTATTTATTTATTTATTTATTTTGGGACACACTTTTAGAAAATGCGTTTGAGGGGTGCCTGGCGGGGCCCAGTCGGTGAAGCATCCGCCTTCAGCTCAGGTCATGGTCTCAGGGTCCTGGGATCAAGCCCCGTGTCCAGCTCCCTGCTCAGGGGAGAGCCTGCTTCCCTCTCTTCCTCTGCCTCTCCCCCCTGCTTGTGCTCTCTCTCTGTCAAATAAACAAATGAAATCTAAAAAAACCAAAAAACCAAAAAACAAAGAAAATGCATTTGAGACCTGGGCTGACTGTCAGTCATTCCCACAGCGGCCCTCAATGCCATAAGTGGTCTTTAGAGACCCCACGTCACAGTCCAAGCAGAAGGCAGTGTGTCCCGAACGTTCACTGATGGACATTGGCCTCTGCACTTGGGGGGGCGGGGGTCATGGATCCGTGAGCACTTGGCCATCCGTGTCTGAGGATGTCTAATTCTCTGATTTTCTCTAGACAAGGGAGCGTTAAATCCAGTATCTTCTGACGTTGAAGCCAAGACTACGAATCACAGGAAAAGAAATGAAGGACTCCGCCTGAATTTGTGTCACTCTTTAACGTCATCACGGTGATTCCTTGGGGACACATCTTGATGTGTGTGTGCTGTAGAATGACCTCCTGCAGGAAGTGCTGCTGACATGTACTCATCTGAGGGACCAAGGAACCAACCCTAAATGTCTTTGAGCCCCAGAATATCGTCTGTTTAGGACTGGGGCTACTGAGCAGTGTCCTGGTATTGAAAAAGGGACAGACCCGTGTCTTCTGCATGGTGCGTTCATTCCCACACTAACTGCATTCAGAGCCTTCAAAGAGCAACACTTGGCGGAGACAAAATTCACAGATGTCCCATGAATCAGAGAGTGTGCGGAGAAAGGCCAGTTGGCACAAGAAGACTAGGGGTTGGGATCCCTGGGTGGCGCAGCGGTTTGGCGCCTGCCTTTGGCCCAGGGCGCGATCCGGGAGACCCGGGATCGAATCCCACGTCGGGCTCCCGGTGCATGGAGCCTGCTTCTCCCTCTGCCTGTGTCTCTGCCTCTCTCTCTCTCTGTGACTATCATAACTAAATAAAAAAAATTAAAAAAAAAAAAGACTAGGGGTTTTTTTTTTGTTTTGTTTTGTTTTCATTTTGGCTTTTTTTTTTAAAGATTCTATTTATTCATGAGAAACACAGAGAGAGAGGCAGAGACACAGGCAGAGGGAGAAGCAGGCTCCATGCCGGGAACCCGATGCGGGACTTGATCCCGGGTCTCCAGGATCACACCCTGGGCTGAAGGCAGATGCTCAACCACTGAGCCACCCAGGAGGCCCAAGAAGACTAGTTTTTGATGAGTCACTGATTCCTTCCCAGTTGGCCTTGGTGCGGCCATGAACATGGTTCCACCCCGGTGATCTGAAGAGGTTTTGTTCCACGCACACAACTTGGGCGCTGTAATCGACCTAAGAAATGCCACTTGCTCCCATGTCTTGTGATTCTTGTGAAGGCTTTGGCTGGATGCTTTCTTCCATGGGATCAAGTGAAGGAGTGGGTCT